ATGAATTTGATATTTGGCACCTTGATATATGCTGAAGAGATCTACCTTTTAGTGGTAGTGTCATGTTTGTACCACTACCTGCTACACCGGAAATTGTTACTAACATTACTATTTTTAAGAAAATTTTAAAATTTTATTTAGCTGTTGGTTACATAAAATAATTCTATATAACTTTTATTTGAAAAATAAAATAAAATTTTCTTGAATATAGTGATGTTAATAACAATTTCCGGTGCCATATCAAGGCGCCAAATACCAAATTCATTGCATCCATAGTCTCCCTATAAAATCCTAAGTCTCGCAGCCGTGATAAAACTGTATAAAAAAACGTGACGTGTTATAAAAAAATGGAACGCATATTTGAAATCTGAACTGAAAACTCAACTGATCTACTATACACAAAAAAAATTAAAGTTTGCACCACAGTGTAATTTGTTGCCTCCAGTGGATTACAATATACAGGGTGTTTCTGGCATAACTTTAATGTGAGTTAAAATGATGACGATTCGTGTAAAAATTTTTTCGAGGTCATAAAACGAGATGCCGTCAATATCAATCGAATCGACACCAGGCTCCTTTCTGGTTATTCTGTGCTATATGACTCGACGTATCCCTAGCCAACCCCAACACCTACCTCTAGTACCTGTTCTGCACATCCTCTAATTGCCCTTGCTCCTTTCATCCCCATATCTCCACTCCATACATTATAACACTTTTTATCAAGATCTCAAACATTATCGTCCTCTTTCCCACATCTCTCCGTTTCACGTCGTTCTTCTCGCACCTTTATTCTGGCTACCGGTTCCGCATATATCTCTCTCACGCTGACTATCATTCTTCCCGAAATCCCTCTTCTCACCATCACATCCCATAACTCCCTCTAGTGACCTTGTCGAATACCTTTCCTTTCTTTTTTGTAAAAGGAACTTATTATCCCGGTCCTCCACCCGTTCGAAAACCGTTCTCCCCTCCATACCTTCCTCAACACCATCAACAACTTCTCCCGTTCCTGTCTCGTTCTGAGGCATCGTTGCAACGGCGGGAGACTCCCAAACCGAACCTAACCCCATCTTCTCCGGGTGCCTTTCCCTTCTGTAATCCACCTCCTCCTCTGTTATCTCATCTCCACCTTGTTATATTCAATTTACATAAAGTTGAGCAATTTTACATTATTATTATTATTTTAAAACCTGTAGCTTTTTGCTGAATAGCTAACAGTGTGCAGAGAATGCAACTTCTTTAGTCTTTCCCCATAATATTACAGACATGCTCTATGGATATAAGATTGGGTAACCTCTGGAAATTGGTCCATAGAACGTCTTACAATATGAGAACAAACGTTATCTTGAAAAAGATAATGGAAAATTGGGTCTTTCAATTGCTGAAGAATTAGAAAAATATTGATAACTCAACCGCCTTATCCACATATCGCTGGACGTTCATACTGTCTCAGAAGACCTTACACCATAATCATAGTATCAACACCAACCTAAATCACTCTAGGTGCCAGTGCAGTCGGAATCTACAACACTCCAAATGTTATTGTCGTTGCTGGCCTACCAGTGGTAACACTAAGACTCGATAGTTCTGATTCTACGGTAAACTTTTCAAAGTGGTATAACACTATTTTCTAGGTTAGTCCATATATTTGCTAATGAACGGCCAAATATAATCTCCCATTATGTGTATGTTAAAATGGTGATAAAGCCGCTTCTTATATTCATCATGGAAATTACTGTTGTGTCACTGCGTTAGGTTATTCAATCCAGTATATTCGCCTTCTTCATATCACGTGGCCAAAATATTATAGTTTTGCTGACATCATTTTAGCATTCTAATCTTGAGAAGTCGGCTAAGGTCGTTACTGCATAATACGTTTCTCATTTTGTTGTCCTTTGTCATCATTTTTTTTCACTACCCGATCAAAAGAGTCAAGCACTTCCTGGATGTGTTCTTCTTACCTTTCTAGTTTCCCCTTTGTATCTGGGATTAACTTACCATACTTGTCTAGCAAAATACCTCTCATTTTCCGTCTGTACTGCTGTCATTATTCTAATCATAATGATTCTGAGACAAGTACAAAGTTGATTATGGTATATTTTAAGTTGTTATATACCGTTATCGCTACTACATTTCGTTATTCGCTATTACCCGAGTAATATATCTGATATTCCATGTCCTGAAAGAAGCAAGAAGAAGGATAAGATTACTACGTTTCTTCTTCTTGCTTCTTTCAGAACCACAGTCGCTCAGAGATTATTTTCAAGATAATTTTTACTAGGGATATCCAAGACAACTTTAATGCAGCGCTTTTCCATTGCCTTTTACATTTCCATTCCATTAATTCACACACACACAATTACAAATATTTAAATTGTAGTAATCTAAAGGTTAAATTAAGTTCAAACTATACTAACAAACTAATTTTTCCAGTATTCCAACTCTTGAAACAGCTATCCGTTTAATCGCATTACAATCGTGTTTACACGCTATTGAAACAAATCCATTGCTGTTATGGAAATTATTGGAATTACCAAAAAAGAGATATTTCCCGAATTCACCTGTAAACATTTTGAAATACTTTTCTAATAAATATTTTGATTAATAATATAATTTTTAGGATCACATTCGTTATCTTAGAACGGCACAAGCTGTCTTGATGTTAATTAAAAATGATACGTTTCGCACTCCAAAATTATTCGACGTTATTTTGGAGAGGTTAATAAATGAAAGCCATCAAACGTCAGTTAGACAATTGATGCAATGGATTTTAATTAGGTTATGTGGAAGAAACGAATTCTCCATTTTAATTGAAAAGTTTAAAACACCACAATGTGAGTCAACGTTGACATCTTTAATAATTGTTTTGTATCATATCGGTTTTATTAAAAAGGATGTAATAAAAACCGTTATAGATGTTGTATTAGAACACATAATGGGACCTGTTTTTAAACTCAGAGTATACTCTCAGGTAAATATAAATTAATTAGAAATATGTACAGTAAAATCTCGATATAGTGGAATATCACGGGATTCGTGAAGTCTATTAAGACGGCTAAACTTGAATGTTTTTAATTCTAGGTCTAGTGTTAGTTTTACTTTTAGTTCAATAAAAATATACAACAGTCTAGTTCTGAATAACAATTAAAACTGGAACTAATACTAGACCTAGAAACATTCTGGTTTNTTCCGCATATATCTCTCTCACGCTGACTATCATTCTTCCCGAAATCCCTCTTCTCACCATCACATCCCATAACTCCCTCTAGTGACCTTGTCGAATACCTTTCCTTTCTTTTTTGTAAAAGGAACTTATTATCCCGGTCCTCCACCCGTTCGAAAACCGTTCTCCCCTCCATACCTTCCTCAACACCATCAACAACTTCTCCCGTTCCTGTCTCGTTCTGAGGCATCGTTGCAACGGCGGGAGACTCCCAAACCGAACCTAACCCCATCTTCTCCGGGTGCCTTTCCCTTCTGTAATCCACCTCCTCCTCTGTTATCTCATCTCCACCTTGTTATATTCAATTTACATAAAGTTGAGCAATTTTACATTATTATTATTATTTTAAAACCTGTAGCTTTTTGCTGAATAGCTAACAGTGTGCAGAGAATGCAACTTCTTTAGTCTTTCCCCATAATATTACAGACATGCTCTATGGATATAAGATTGGGTAACCTCTGGAAATTGGTCCATAGAACGTCTTACAATATGAGAACAAACGTTATCTTGAAAAAGATAATGGAAAATTGGGTCTTTCAATTGCTGAAGAATTAGAAAAATATTGATAACTCAACCGCCTTATCCACATATCGCTGGACGTTCATACTGTCTCAGAAGACCTTACACCATAATCATAGTATCAACACCAACCTAAATCACTCTAGGTGCCAGTGCAGTCGGAATCTACAACACTCCAAATGTTATTGTCGTTGCTGGCCTACCAGTGGTAACACTAAGACTCGATAGTTCTGATTCTACGGTAAACTTTTCAAAGTGGTATAACACTATCTTCGTTATCATTGCAGTTTCTAGGTTACTCTATATATTTGTTAATCAATGGCTAAATATAATCTCCCATTATGTGTATGTTAAAATGGTGATAAAGCCGCTTCTTATATTCTCCTGAATATGCGATAGTTCTCATCATGGAAATTTTCATGTTCGATGTTGCAGTTCTAAACAATTTCACCGAATTACTGTTATGTCACTGCCTTAGGTTATTCGTCCAGCACATTCGTCTTCTTCCTATCACGTCTTGGCCACGTATTGCATTTTAGTTGTGCTGACGATTTCTCGTTCTTTCACCAATTTTTCTAATATCTCCGCGTTTGTTGTTCTGGTCACCCAGCTTATTCTCAGGATTCTTTTATAACCATATCTCAAAAGCTTTAAGCTTCCAAACTATAGTACTAGAAACACATAGGATTTTAGCATTCTAATCTTGAGATATCGGCTAAGATTTGTTGAATACTCTTCCTTCATTGTTCTCATTCGCAATTGTCCCCAAGTACTTGTACCTACCGATCCCCTTCACTAAATAATCTGCAGTTGTTCTTCTTGTTCAGTATGCTTTCTCATCATTTTTTTCCACAACCCGATCAAAAGAGTCAAGCATTTCCTGGATGTGATCTTCCCACCTTTCTAGTTTCCCCTTTGTGTCTGGGATTAACTTACTACACTTGTCTAGTAAAATACCTCTCATTTTCCGTCTGTAAGCTGTCATTATTTTAATCATAATTATTTTATCTGAGACAAATACAAAGTTGATATCTATGGGAACTTTAACGCTGCGATTTTTCATTGTCTTCTGCATTTCCATTCCATTAATCCATTCAGATTCAACCGCTTTTAGTAACGATTTCTTGTTACAAGACTAAGAAACTACCAGCAAAAGCTGTTCCATACACACATACACAATTACAAATATTTAAATCGTAATAATCTTAATTTAAGGTTAATTTAAGTTCGAATTATACTAACAAACTAATTTTTCCAGTATTCCATCTCTTGAAACAGCTATCCGGTTAAGCGCATTAAAAGCGTGTTTATACGCTATTGAAACAAATCCATTGCTGTTATGGAAATTATTGGAGTTGCCAAAAAAGAGATATTTCCCGAATTCACCTGTAAACATTTTGAAATACTTTTCCAATGAATATTTTCATTAATAATATAATTTTTAGGATCACATTCGTTATCTTAGAACGGCACAAGCTGTCTTGATGTTAATTAAAAATGATACGTTTCGCACTCCAAAATTATTCGACGTTATTTTGAAGAGGTTAATAAATGACAGCCATCAAACGTCGGTTAGACAATTGATGCAATGGATTTTAATTAGGTTGTGTTCGTTGTGTGGAAGAACCGAATTCTGCATTTTAATTGAAAAGTTTCAATCACAACAATGCGAGTCAACGTTGACATCTTTAATAGTTGTTTTGTATCATATCGGTTTTATTCGAAAGGCGGTAATAAAATCCGTTATAGATGTTGTATTAGAACACACAATGGGACCTGTTTTTAAACTCAGAGTATACTCTCAGGTAAATATAAATTAATTAGAAATACAGTAAAACCTCGATATAGCGGAATATCATGGGGTTCGTGATGTCTATTAAGACGGCTAAACTTAAATGTTTTTAATTCTAGGTCTAGTGTTAGTTCTAGTTTTACACTAACACTGTTACTATGTAGAACTAACACTATACCTACAACGAGAATCATTTGGGTTTAGCCGCACGTCTCTAAAGACGGCTAAACCCGAATGATTCTAGTTCTAGGTCTAGTGTTAGCTCCACTCTTAGTTCAGTAAAAATATGCAACAGTATAGCTCAATAACAATTAAAACTAGAACTAACACTAGACCTAGAACTAGAAACATTCGGGTTTACAGCACGTCTCTAGGTCTAGTGTTAGTTCTAGTTTTAGTTCAATGATAAATATATAACAACCAACCCCGAATAACAACTAAAACTAAGTGCATTAGACGTCTGAAGACGCACGACTAAACCCGAAACTTTCTAGCTCTAGGTCTAGTGATAGTTCAAATGCTAGTGTGATGTATTTTATTTGAGTTACTTTTGAGTATATTCAAATTAAAGACTTTAACTTGTTATAATTAACAAACATCTTTATTCGAGCGAAGTCAACTCAGAACTGAGTTAAAACAGGTTTACAAAACGCTTTTATACGAAAATACACTACAGCTAGTATTAGTCCTTGTCTTAGTTGTTATTCAGCATTAGATTGTTGTATATGTTTCATTGAACTAAAACTAGAACTAACACTAGATTCTACATTCTGCTTTAACCATCTTATGAGACGTACGGCTAAATCGGAATGTTTCTAGTTCTAGATCTAATGTTAGTTCTAATGACAGTGCAAGTGTAAAATTAGAACTAACACTATACCTAGAACTAGAATCATTCGGGTTTAGCCGTCTTTAGAGACGTGCGGCTAAACCCAAATGATTCTAGTTCTAGATATAGTGTTAGTTCTACATAGTAACATTGCTAATGTACAACTAGAACTAGCACTAGACCAAGAACTAGAATCATTCGGCTTTAACCGTCTTATGAGACGTACGGCTAAACCTGATTGTTTCTAGTTCTAAGTATAATGTTAATTCTAGTGACAGTATAAGCGTAAAACTAGAACTAACACTATACCTAGAACTAGAATCATTTGGGTTTAGCCGTCTTTACAGACGTGCGGCTAAACCCAAATGATTCTAGTTCTACGTATAGTGTTAGTTCTACATAGTAATAGTGCTAGTGTAAAACTAGAACTAACACTAGACCTAGAACTAGAAACATCGGGTTTAGCTGTGCGTCTCTTAAGACGGCTAAACTCGAATATTTCTAGTTCTAGGTCTAATGTTAGTTCCACTTTTAGTTCAATAAAAATATGTAATGTAACGCTGAATAACGATTCAAACTAGAACTAACGCTAGACTGAGAACTATTAAGTTTTGGGGTCCGTTTTACTGTAATTTTTTAATAATTTAATTTTCCTTTACTTTTTAGGTTGCTATTTATAATTTAATAAAACGCCAAAACTTACAACAAGAATACAAAGTGTTGTTTACAGTATTAGAAAAAACTCTTGAAAGTAATAAAACCGCTGTGAATAAAGTGTTAAATACCGATTTGGATATCTTTGAAGTATTCGATCCCATAAAAAATTTTCATTGGAAAACGATTTTGGTAGATATCCCTAAATTAAATAATGTAATTGATTCCGAATGGTGTTACATCGAACATTACATGAAGAAAAATGAAAGTTTTAATGATTTATTACCAATGGGTGAACATAGATCGGAATTTTTACCATTATCAAAAACAAATTTTTTAAACAACCTCAACGAAAAAGAAAATATGGAAATGGATGTGATAAACATCCAAAAAAAAATTGTTCCTAACCACGATATCCTAAACAATTCAAAAGTTAACACTGATTTGATTGTGATTGCTTCGTTAGTTACAAGTAGTGCAAATTTAGGCGGTTTGGCAAGAACTTGCGAGATTTACGGCGTTAAAAAGCTTATTGTGCATAATTTGAAAGTGACTGAAGATAAAGAATTTAAAAGTTTAAGTATGTCATCAGAGCGCTGGTTAAATATAGAAGAAGTTAAAAGTGAAAATTTAATTAACTATATTACTAAAGAAAAAGTTAATGGATATGCAATAATAGGTGCCGAACAAACTTGTGATAGCGTCAAATTAAACGATTATAAGTTCCATTCTAAATCCATTTTAGTACTTGGGTAAGTTTAATTCTTATTCAACTTAAAATAATTTAATAATCTTTGATTTAGAAATGAAAAGAAAGGGATTCCATTTAGTTTATTACCCCATTTGGACGTGTGTTTGGAGATTCCTCAGTTTGGTGTTGTTAGATCTTTAAATGTACACGTCGCTGGATCAACATTTATCTGGGAATATGTAAAACAAATATCTTTACAATAATATAAGTATATTTTAATGTTGCTATGAATTAAAAGTTATTTTTTTTTCTTCAGTTAAGTTTCCTGTTTTAGACGATATTAAACTCAATAAAGAAGATCTGTACTACCCCAAAGTTATGTCATCAACCCTAAAAAATGGTAAACATGTTGGTTAAAACACCCTTTCATTACGTTTTTAATTGAGCCAGTTAGAATCCAGCTAGAGTAATTAATTCTGTACCAGAAATCGTTACGTCGAGCAAAGACAGTGTGGCCTATTGGATAGGCAGAATGTATCAATACTTTTTAATTATAATGCAATGCAAAAAGGTTTGCTTATTAACAACTACAATCTATCTAAGTGTACAAAACACAAATTTATCACAGATAAGGTTCTAGCTACTTCAAGAATTTAATATGAATATAAATGAGGAGGAATAATGATGACTTATTCTATCCACAATATGAGCTGGATGTATGTACAAATGTTATAGAAGTTAGAAAACCGCCACTGTATCCATCCTTGAATACACATGACTTAGTTAGACAGAAAACGTGATGATTACGATTTAGCTGATCTGATTTAGGGGAAGGTGTTGTACCTTGGACCATTTTATTTCTAAAGCTAATATTTCAATATTTATCAGAACATGGAGAACTCGAATGAATGTTGTACTCAATGTCTTGGTTGGTGATGCGGACATAAGCAGATTGGTTAAATTTCAGCGAATTAGATGGCTGGGACACATAAGAAGAATGGAAGACGATAAAAGATGCAAAAATACTATACCTAGAACTAGAATCATTTGGGTTTAGCCGCACGTCTCTAAAGACGGCTAAACCCAAATGATTCTAGTTCTAGGTATAGTGTTAGTTCTAGTTTTACACTTGCACTGTCACTAGAACTAACATTAGACCTAGAACTAGAAACATTTGGGTTTAACCGTCTTAAGAGAAATACGGCTAAACCCAAATGATTCTAGTTCTAGGTATAGTGTTAGTTCTAGTTTTACACTAGCACTGTTACCATCTAGAATTAACACTATACCTAGAACTAGAATCATTTGGGTTTAGCCGTCTTTAGAGACGTGCGGCTAAACCCAAATGATTCTAGTTGTAGGTATAGTGTTAGTTCTAGTTTTACATTTGCACTGCCACTAGAACAATTTCAGCGAATTAGATGGCTGGGACACATAAGAAGAATGGAAGACGATAAAAGATGCAAAAATCATTACAGAATGGAAACCAACAAAGAAAAAACCTAGAGGAAGACCTCGTAAAGGATGGTTGAATGACATCAAGGATGACTTGGGGGCGATGGGAGTGAGAGATTGGTGGAGAGTGGCTAGGAGTAGATGGGAATGGCGTAGAATTGTTGAAGAGACCAAAACCCACCAAGCGTTGTAGAGCTAGAAGAAGAAATAGATAATAAAATGTGACAAGTACCTACCATTATCAAAAGGATAGAAATACACTTTGGAAGTACTTATACACTTTGGAAATTATAGACATAATTTTAATTACAAAACATTATATTGACTGAAGTCAACTGAAAAGATAATTTGTTCTCTTGTATTGTTGACAATTCAAGGGTAGCTGGCGTGGAAAGATGTCTGCCTGCTTTTCTGCCAACTATTTTTTCTGTAAAGTTGTTGTATCCCTCATCAACTTTTCAAGGGACGCCTTAGCAATTTGGTCATTTACAGCGGCTAGACCAACAGAGAATTTGTGCATAAAAACATCTTCTACTGCCGATGATAAATTTCTTTTATTAGCCGACTGTTGCTTATTGCCTAGTTTACTTCATGGAATTTTCCAAAAACATAAAGTCACACTTAACTAAATTTAGAATTTCTTCATTATAGATAATCATTACGAAAGTCCAAAGTACAGGTTTGTTACATGTACCTTGTACTGGTCTAAGGTACAAACATGCCATTTGTCTAACATACACGTTTGGTAACGTTTTTAAAAAGTCGTTCTTTTTTTACTACGTTATGTTTACAAGCATCTTCGTTACTTTTAAATTAAAGAGAAATGAACTTAATGTAAACAAACTTATACTACCGGTCCATGGTACATTCGATCCAAGATACAACACATTCCCCTACATGCAATATAAAACTTCATCACTTTGAATATGAAGTATTTCTAATCTTTATTCCTTGCAATACAGATTTATTTATGTTATTGCGTTGATAAAACCAGTGGAAGCATGTTACTTTATAAAGCACTGACCTAATTGAGGTGAGATACTATGAGATGTTATAAATAAGTTTGTTATAAAAACAAGAATGCTACAATACAGTAAAATTGCATAAAAGTACTGACCGAATACCTATTTGGCGTGGGGTAAGATAAGATGAAGAAAGTCCCTCAAATTGTTTATCACAGTTTTGATGAGTGCATTTAAACAACTAGATTGGACCCAAAAAGGCATAAACATTGATGGCGAATTCCTAAGTAATTTGCGCTACGCGAACGATATAGTCCTTATTTCGGATAGCCTTGGAGAGACGAAACTGATGCTGAACGACTTACAGGAGGTGTGTGCAAGAGTCGGGCTAAATATCTACGTGGAGATATCAACATTGGGAATAATGAGATTGAGAGGGTTGACAGCTATGTATATCTTTGTGAAAAAAGTTGAGATCTTATCCCTGAAAGACTGTACTGGCTCTATGTGGCTGTGGTTAGACCTATCATCATATACGAAGCGGCAGCCTGGTATAGGAAAGTCCAACAGACTTCAGTTATCAGTAAACTTTCACGAATTCAACGAGTAGCTGGATTTGCAATCTCTGGTGCGATAAGCACAACGCCAACTCTAGCAATGGACGTTCTGCTTGACCTAACTCCGTTCCATGTGCATATAGAGAAAGTGGCTAGAACTACCATTTACAGATTTAAGCAATATGCTCAAAACTGTTCCGACATGTCCTACTAATGAGCTGCGAAAGACACTACAAGCACTAATATTGTGCTATCAATGCCGTCAGCTTTCACGGGATCGCTATCAGTGATGCATGCTCGATACCAGAACTCACAGATGGATTAAAAACTCCGGGGCAAGAATATACTACCAGATACTTCGGATTAAGCAACCTGGGGACGTACTGTACTGTATTTCAGGCGGAAATATTTGCTATAGACATGTGTGCTAAAATGCTTCTTGAGTGAGGGGTGAAGGACATGACAGTACGAATTTTCTCAGCCAGTCAAGCCGCTCACCAGGCGTCTAGTTAATAACTGTAAAAGAACTTTAAACACACTGACAATGAGTTGTGATAACAGAGTTTCTCTGATCTGGGTCCCAGGTCACTCTGGGGTTGCTGGCAATGAAGCGGCAGATGAGCTAGCACGAGATTCGCAAGAATGAAACAATGACAGAAAAACCAATGGTGAATCAACACTAAAACACTGCGCTGCAATGTAACAGACGATTCACTCAATACGTGAACAATATGTGTTGTTGTACAACATCAAGCAGTAACCGTCTCTGTCAAGTTTAACGAAAAGGAGCGAATGATTCATTGCCTCACATACACAATAATACACATTCGTAGACAGTATTAGCCACGTTTTGATCATTTTAACCAATTTTAGATACACTTTCAAATAATTTTGGACAACTAAACTAAAACTAGAAGAAGCACAATCCTAGAACTAGAAACTTTCAATTTTTAAAAAAGCGTTTGACGTTTCGGGTGCCATGTTGCAAATTCTTCAAAAATAAGTTGGAAGTGTCGAAAAAGTCAAACGCCTTTTCAAAAGACGCACTGCTAAACTCGAAAGTTTCTAGGTTTAATGTTAGTTCTAGTGTTAGTACTAATATAATATAGGTGTTAGTACTACACCTTGTTTTTAATTTTAGACAATTTGATAAAAGTTTAGATAAATTTGAACACATTTTTGCGATTATAATCAATAAAGTACAAGTTTTCATAATTTTACATAAAGTTTGAATATTTTTTCACGTTTATGTTCACTATTTTGGACAAATGTGAACTTAACAGAAGAATCACACTCATATGGGCAGCCTACGGGAAACTTAGTGACATCTTCAAGAGCGATTTTCCTATATATTTGAAAATAAAGGCTTTCAATTAATGCGTGCTTACGGTTATGACATACGGCTCTGAAACATTAACATTAATGGTGGCCACTGCCAGGAGGCTCAAAGTAACGCAAAGAAAGATGGAGAGGTCGATGCTGGGTGTAACCCGGATCACATATGAAATGAAGACCTAAGAAGAAAAATTGGCGTAAATGATGTGGCACAGCTCAAGTGAAATTGGGCAGGTCATATCGCGCGCATAAAGATTGAGCAGTGGACAAAATGGTTGTTTGAGTGGAGAGCCTACACGCTGGACGGACGATGTCAAAAGAATGACCAAGTGGATTCTGACAGCACAGAATAGAATCGAATGGAACAGAATGCCCAAAAATCGACGCAGAGGTCTGCTTGATGATGATGAAAGACTATGAAATGATGAGGTATGTCAGTTGAACAGGAGTAGTTTAGTTCCATTATTACTTTCCAATTGGGTCATATCAGTATTTATTTATCAGCCAATTATTTGGTAGCGAAGTGTGTTGCAAACGTGACACTTTTTGTTGCCAAAGAAGCTTACATTGCACTTAGCTATACTTTAAATTGTTGTTGTTGATCGTTCCGCAATCCACATAATTATTTTGCAATCAATTTTGTTACAGCAATAATCATTTGAAAGTAAATTTAATTTTTAAATTTGTATAGGAGGTTATCTAATATAATAAAACTTTTCAGTTGGTAATACTTTGACGTTTCATATATAACCAAACAAATTAACGTCAAAAAAATTTTGTGTTTTACTTAAATCAGCTGTGATAATAATTTAAAACCGTACCCATGGAATGCGAAACGGTCAAGGAAAAACTAAACAATTTGATACAGAAAAAGATTTTCGATCAACAACAGGAACGAGCCGAACTAAAAGAGGTTATTAAATCCGACCAACATCCCATAACCTTCGTAAAAGTTAAGGAAGAATTCGACGATACGGACATTTGCGACGAAAACACATCTTATTTTAATAACAATTCGGAGGATGTTTTAAAAAAGGATATTATTTCTAACCAAAATGAGAAGGAAGACGATTTCGTCAATAGCATATCGTTACATGAAATTTTAAATAAGAAAAAACGAGCGTTGTTACAACATCCGCAAGTTATCTCCTTTTTAAAGAATAAAATGAAATCTACGTCTTTAAAGTTGTTTTTATTTATTAAAAAAATTAAGATTAAAAAGTTAGGTTATGTATTCAATCATTTTGAGTCGATTATAAATAAAAATGCATTATTTTTATTTATTTTAAATAAATCAAAAATTAAATACGTACAATTTAAAAGCAATGTTGCCAAATCAACAAGAAAAAAAATATGTATTTAGGTTAACCTTCAACAAAACGAAATTTTTACGCTGTCAAATTGACAAGAGGTTGATTGTGGCGCCCTCAACCTCAAACAAGTGCAGCAACCAGCAAAATGAAGTGAAACAGGCTTTTGTTTTGAGAGTAGGTAGATGACATATCTGTCAATATATTTCCTGTACGAATTAAAAAAATTTGTTAATCGTAGACGAAAATGCGTACGATCATGTAGTTTACAACGCGTTAACGTTACATATAGTTTTTGAAGAATAATAGAAAATAAGGAAAATCATTAGAATAACGTCGTCGAATCGCTCGGCCGTGTGTTGTGTTGTACAAAATATCCACATCCCAAGGTTGGCCCCGTTTTTTGTTGCGTCGTTTTCATCCCCTTAGCTTTTTAGTTTCATGTGAGCGTACAATTCACCATCTTAAGGTTAAGATTTCGATTCCAACCAAGAAAACGTATACAAACAAAAAAAAACAGTGCATGTGGTTTTTTTATTTCACTTTTTTTTCTTAAAAAAAGGTCTTAAAACTTTTTATTTTTTCCGTAACACTTTGAAGTATTGAAGGATTTCCAGATCTCGAGGAATGGATCATTCAATGTTTTTACCGTACTCTCCACCCAACGGTGTACCTCAAGAATCCAAATTGGCTACATACATGGTATTTATATTTATTATTATTTATAATTAAATATTAATTATTGTGCTATTTCGTTTATTTTAGAACCGACAGAGTTCTTCAACTCCAGTCACTAATAATTTAACTCAAGGTTTTTCAAAGATCTCATTAGAGACTCCAATTACTTCATCGAAAAAGGTTACTCCACAGTCACCAGAATTTGTACCTGGAGCGCGAATTGTTACAACGAGTACTTCTGGGAAAATATGTAAGTAATTTTTTATTTCAAATTAACTTGCCTATTATAATTTTGTCTTTAATCAATTTTATGTTTTATCTAAATGAAAAAAGGTTAAGTAATATGTTATCTATATTAAATGCTGGAAGTTTAAAGGAGCTATTGTATTGTGTAAGATTGATGTGATAAGAGAAAACTTTTTTTATATATTATTTAAGGAAAAAATTTGTGATGATTCCTCTTCTCTTAATAATAAATATTTAATAACATATCAGGATAAGGAGAAACATAAATTGATGAATTTTTTAAGTCATTAATGTGTGTGCTAAAATGTTTAAATCTTGTTAAGTTAAACATACCCAAATAGAAACAGCTACACCAAACAGGTTATCTACTAAACATAGGACTAAACAGTACTTTTTATTACTTTAAATGATCTTGTAGAAAAACTGATGGTTGTAACAAACCCATCAAATGTTATTGAATAGTGAAGAAATAATAATCAAGCTGTGTAAACATATTGTAAGTATTTGTAGGTAGTATATTGTAAGCACTAGGATGTATTTCCAATTAATTTGGAAATACATCTTAACTTATTCAATGTAAATTTATGTATAAATGTGCTACAGTTTGTGTTTTTCATTGAGTTATATAATATAATCAAATTTATGATGCCAAAAGGTGACAGACCTTCCTTAAAAAAAAAGGAAAAATTTAATGATATCCCATTTATAAAGATTGATAAACCTTGATCAAAAACACCTTGACCTAGAACAAACCTTGAATATTTTGATGTGTGTAGGAAATGTCATGGTGATCTATTAATATCAAGGAAACATCTTTTTGGTTTGGCTTGTGAGATTAAATTTTCTGGCAGTAAGTGTGAAGAAAATGATTTCCATGTATATTTTGTGACCTAAATATAATTACAAAGCAAAGTTACAGTTGAAAAAGTTGATGTGTTAAAGTCAATAATTATCAGTTTGCATCTGCAGAACTTTTATTCATTGTTAAAAGGTATCTATGCTAATCATGGAAAAGGTATTGTTGTGTTAATTATTCTGAATTAAGTAAATTAAATTTCAAATACAAGAGCGAAGGTAAGCTCCAAAGTGGAGACATAAAACCGGTTGGTTCATCATACACAAAAAAGGAAGAAGACCAATTAAGGAACCTTAAGGAAGAAGCTGTAAGATGGCAAACTGGTTTGGCTCTAAATGTAATCGATGATAATGATGAGAAAACGGATTATCCATATATGGACTTTGTAATTTAACATACAGGTGTCTCACATAACTGGTTCATTAGAACTTTTTCAAGTTCCACTATTCGTAGAGTATTGAAATTTTGGTAACACGGGTTGTTCATTCAGAACTTTCGATCTAAAACATTTTCAAAATGGCCGCCACTTCCGGTCTACCAGAAGTAGACCATAACTTCGTTATTTTAAATGAAATGCTATACTTTTTATTACACCGTTTAATTGTATGTAAAAAAATAGGTTGACTTTGATAAAAGTTATTGGTACCTAGCGTTTTTCGTTTTTGAGTTATTTTGGTTTTAAGCTTTTTTTGGTAATTTTCACCAGGCCTTTAATTTCCCGTATCTCAGCCAATCTTCATTCAAAAAAGGTCTAAATTGGTACGATTACTTTTCAGATGCTGTAAAATAGATTATCATTTGTTGTATCGAAGTATCTTATACAGGATGGTCAAAAATTGAATTACTGTTTCTCCATTTTCAATGGCGAGAAAGTAGAAAATTTTAAATGGAACGCCCCATATTTATATCCCATCAGAAAGGGAATTTAATTCTCTACAAATTATCTATAAACATTCCTATACCTATTTATTGTAGTTTGCCTCATATGGGGAAATTTATTAAAACATGTACGAAATGCAGGTTTTTTTATTAGAAAGCAATGGAATTTTGACAGTTTTTGGTCCATGTTTGTATTATTGTTGTCATTAGTTATTTAGATCAGACTACGTCAACTAATTTTTTGGATTTATCTTCTGTACGTGGTTTTATGCTTCTGATGGCTGGTTTTATCTGGTAAAGAATTCTCTCGACACCGTATCCTATTACTGTCTCTTAGCCCCTCCTATCCATTTTCGACTCTCAGCCTGAGCAATCCTGTGGAAGATCGCGGTAACCAACCTCGGTGTGAAGTACAGAACAATAGGGGGTTGAGCATAAGGCAAACAACTTTACCACGTAAAAAAGCACTTGTTCCTGATTAGACACAATTATGGGAACATGGAACATAAGAAGTCTCAATAGGATTTGAGTACTTAATCCCAGACGAAATGGTGAAGATAGGATCAGCATACTAGAGGAACAGCATACTAGAGGAACAGAAAACACACAGTGGCAAAGACAATAAAAGCAAATTGGGTGGATGTAGCATTTATAGTTGAAAAGAACATTAAGGAGAACATTTTGGGCTTTAAACCGGTTAAAATGGTTGATGTAACCTAATTCCCCAGAAAAGACATCCAGAAATGGACTTGGACATCGTCTGAGATCAATAATCATATAGACCATGTCTTGATAGAGGAAATATGTCAATATTATGAAATGTGAACTGGGACAATGACCGCTATCTAGTTAGCATAGATTATAGAAGCAGGATTAATCGAAACAGAACATCTAATAGACAAGGAATCCTTAAGCTGTATGTGGAGAAGCTAAAAGTCGAGGAAACAAGATATTCATAAGTACTAAAAAAAAGAGGTCAACACCGTGATAGGGGCACAGTCTGAGGAGCAAAAACCAGAAAGTATCTGACAATCACATGAAACCGCTCTATAGTATTCGTAGCGTAACAGTAAGGACAAACCAAGGGAAAGTTGGAATGAATGGTATGACAAAGATCGTATGCAAGCTGTTTATCAACGAAACAAAGATAGAATGACCGCAACTAAAAGGATACTAATACAAACAAGTATAATCGCGAGGCGTACAGAAACATATATCTTCCTCAAACAATGAAGAAAAAACAACAGACCATGAACCGATGGAAACAATACTTCCAAAACCTTCTTACCACCAATTTTGACAGTTTTTGATCCATGTTTGTATTATTGTTGTCATTACTTACATTTGACGACGGGTGTAGTCATTGAACATCATGGCAGATTATTCCAACGCCGATATTTGAAATATATTTTGTATTGATGGCGAATGTATAAACTTTTGGATAGGACGTGTCGAACACTTAATGAGATATACCTAATAAACCAAACGCCCATCACAAAGAAAAAATTCCAGTCACCAGTGTGATGAAGACAACGAAATAAATATTTTATCGTATTTTATTGCATATCCAAATTCATTTATATTATAAATTTATATTTTTATCTAAATCCAAATTTTTTCATTAATTTTTGTTTTAATTGTTTCATTTATTTGATCTTCTGTTTGTTATTTTTGGTAAATAAAAGCTTATCAATCATAGTTAATAATAAAAAAAACTTCATATAAATATATGGACTTAGTCATACTTGAAGGAAATGATACAGTTGTTGTTGCAGGTCGTCTTCTCTTGCTGCGATTAATGCTGCATCATTTGCATAACACATCATGATGAGTACAGTGTGTTAATTAATTATCGTACAGTATTGGTATTGCAATACGCGATTTGCGATATTGGTTGCATACTTGCAATGATGACGTCGGGTACGGTAATTAATTAACATCATGCTGCTTCTTTGTCTTGGGCCACCTCAAACCATCTGCTTCCAAACGTAACTTCATCATGATAAAGATGTTGAACTTCAATCACATTTTGACTTTGACAGATGATGAGAAACATTCAAGGATAAATTCTTATTAAACAAAATTGTTATGTTCCTATCTATTATGTTTGCTATTTTATTCCAAGAACATTATTGGTAGAAAAATCTTAATACATGTGATATGTTCAAAATGTTACTGAATTCGAATTATTAGTTATTTACGGCAGAATTATTATAATCTCTCGTTGACTACATTTTTTGTTTAATTTATTTTCTGGTTTACTTGTTCTAGCAAAGATATCTTCATTTGAATAGGTTCCTCCAACAATTTTCGGCACCCTTTCCTTTTCTGTTGGAACCTGTTTTCCATGATAAATAAAAATCAAGAGACGAAGTACTAGCTGGTTTAATGATAAATTTATCTACATACATAATTGTCATATAAAAGAAATATTTAATTTGAATTCTACGAATCCAAACTTTGGTAAAAAACAATCGTTGATGAAAGATAATAATGGCTTGTCCACTCAGTGTCACTCATAGACATGAAACTGTAACACATACCTATAAATAGCAACGATATATATGATGAGTATGAAAGTGTTTTACTATGTATTCAAAATAATTTTCAATAAATAAGCAATTTTATAGCTGTGTAGTTTATTTATTTCACTTTCTACTTCTATTTTTGAGTACTGAGTACCACACCACCTGATATTTTATTGCTACTTCGCGCCTATTTCGTCCACGCGTTGTGATAGGATTAATAGAATCCTCGTTGTTCCTCCATACTAATTAAAGAATTGAATTAAAATTTTAATCTCCTTTATTTCTGTTTCTATTGAAACCATAATAACTTTTAAGATCTTCTATAAATTTTCGATTTATTTTGAATACAAAAATAAAAATTCCTTGTAATATAAAGGTTCCAATGAGTTCCAATATTTCCAGCCTCCCCAAATTTCTTTAATTCATTTCCTGGACTGGCAGGTACAGCCCCAGGTCCCGGATACCCACGGTTGGTGGATTCTCCTCATAGCGGGACCGGTTCACCCCATGGAACACCTCAACCGTCACCACCACCTTTGGCTATCAATAATTGTTCACCAATTTCGCATGGTGTTATTGAAAAACCAATCGGAACGGTTTCCGTCGCATATCAAGTAACTTATTTTTTTGTTTAATTTCTTATCAATAAAAGCGTCTTTTTCTTTTTATGCAAAATAGGAAAATGTGGGTGGAACGACGTATTTTTATCCAACGGCAGCTGATACTTCACATACGTCGAACGATTCAACGATGAGTTCGATTACAAATACAAGTGTTGGATCTGCGTACCAAGTTTACCCGGGAACGCCGAGTCACATTAGCTCGATAAAAACGAGGGGAACGAACAGTTCGTTTTTTATATCGGATGATGCTCGATTAGAAATACTGAGTCGAAATGCTTTGACGTTAGCTCAAAGTGATCCAGAACAATATCCAGGTAAATAGCTTTTTTTTATACATTCTGTTTTATGAGGAATGGTACATATGTTAAGATGTTTTAAAAGTGTGCTAAAAACATGTGCTCAATTCTCAAAGATAACTGAGATACAGCCAGTTAATGCATAAACTGATTTATTTAAATGTGTACGTAAAATATCGAAATTCGGAGTTTAACCCTTTGTGTCCCGACGGTACATTAAAGTACCGGTAATTTCAAGCACTCATTTTAAACTGTAGTATCTATTCGACGCATATAGAGTTGTCGGTACTTTGTACTATACAGGAAAGAACTTATATAAAAAATGACGCAATCCGTACTGTAGGGTTTTAGGTACATTTAAATTTATTGATCCAGATGTGAGGTTTGAAGTTTAGTGAAAAGTGGTGTTGCTGAATTATGTTATTCAAAAAGGTATGTCTTTGATAAATGGTTATTAGGTGTGATTTGTGAGCAGCTTCGTGTATTGTTTACGTATTGCAATTACAATTTTCAAACATTTACAACATTGAGATTGATGTAAAAATGAGCCAAGCGAATACAGATACGTTTTGGTACTTGAATAAAGCTTTGACTGATGAAGAGCTTGAAAAATTTGTGTTGAATTAGAAAATTAATAATTCTGAACAGACAGACATAGAAGATGACATTGTTCTTACCAGTGCTAGTGAAGTACCTATACTAGAAGATGAAGAAGTAGAACAACTAACTAATCAAAATGAGGAAAGTGACGCTGAAGTAGTACAAATACGTGACAAAGGACCCAAGAAGAAGAATAAGGCAGAAATTGATAAAAAATGGAGAAAACGGAAAAAACAGACTGAAATTCCAGGATGCGATTATCCAGAGGGAATAATTGGTGATACTTTTGCAACTTGCAATAATCCTACAGATTATTTTCTAACATTGATGGGTAACTGTGTGATGGGTGATGTGTAACATAAATTTCTTAATGATTTATCACAGTTTGCCAAGCTATAAACTCTTCTGGAATAATGCTGAAGACTTGGGCGTACCACTTATTATACGAACAATCACCCTTAACAGGTTTCAGGAGATTTGATCATATCTGCATGTCAACGATACAGCATTATTCCTAAGAACAATACGGATAAACTATACAAGATTCGTCCGTATTTTGAAACATTTGAAGCCGTCACTTCTCCAGTTATTATCGTGGCACTAGGCAGTAGGGATGCAAACGATACATCGATTTTTCGAAAACATCGATGTATTGTCCATAAACATCGATGTTTTAATAGCGATATTGAAGTCCATAAAACATCGATACATCGTTCATTATGGACGATATTTTACCTTCGATGTTTGATAAAATAATCGACCATTATTTCCATGTTTGTATAAAAGTGCAATGAAATATTTGCCACTGTTAGCAACTTCAGTGTCTAACGAACACAGAAGTTGGCGAAACAATTAATCAGGAATCGCTTCTTATTAGGCAAAAGGTTGTCAAAGTTAAGGTTTTTGAATTCTATACTTAAAAATAAGTTTAAATAACATTATCTATGTGTTTTATCATATTATAATAAATGGATCGCGTTATACATCACTTGACTAAGCGACATTTTATCGTTTTTAGAGATTTTCATGCTGTCTGGTAAGAAGCCGACGTTACACGTCGCAATTGACTGCTATGGCGGCAACTACGGAGGAGTGTGGTTTGACTGTTCTCGTCAAAATTTACGTGTAACATAGTAATGACTGCGAGCAAAGCTACTGCGAAGGCTAGAAAATTTTCTACTTTCGGTATAGCACGTAAATTTGACGCTTTACACGCCAATTTGACGCTAGCAGTCAAACCACTTAGACACTTAGATATACCAAGAAATTCTACAATAGAAAAAAATAGATGAATTTCGAGTCAGTGTCGTTTTCTAGATGTTAGTATAAAATTGAAAGTTTGTCATTTATTTTATATAAAATTTAAGTCTAACAAGTTTCGGCCCTTGGCCATCTTCAGAGACTCCACAAATAATCTATTAATAACATCTCTCATCTTATCCATTTTACAAACGACAGCGGAAGGTAGCGCTAGTTAGCATAAGATATAACTAGACCGAATATTTCTAGTTCTAGGACTAGTGTTAGTTCTAGTTTTACACTAGCACTATCACTAGAACTAACACAAGATCTAGAACTAGCATCATTCGGGTTTAATCGTCTTGAGAGACGTGGGACTAAATCCAAATGTTTCTAGTTCACGGTCTAGTGTTAGTTCTAGTAGCAGTGGTAGGTAGCGCTAGTTAGCCTAAGATATTACTATGTTGTATATTTTTATTGAACTAAAACTAGAACGAGAACTAGAAACATTCGGGTTTAGTCGTGAAAAAAACTTTCAGTTGTCAATGTCAACTTTAATTTTATTATTACCTTTAAAGTGAGTCCAAACTTGACAATTTAACCAAAAAATTCGAACTTTCAACTTTTAATTTTGACATAATTGTCAACTTCATAAAAAAATCTTTAAAATGAGTCCAAACTCGACATATTTAACATTAATATTAATGGAAATGTAATCACTTCCGGTTTAAAACGTCAACGTCAATTTTGACATATTTATCATCTTCATTAAAAAACCTTTAAAATGAGTCCAAAGATGACGCACTTATCTCAAAAAACATAAAAGTTAGAATAAAAAACATTAAACCCTAAGTTAGCAACAATGAAGATAGCAATTCAATAATACCAACCTTAATTTTTTTTTTTTTTTTATAGTTTTGTTTTTGTGACAAATATTAAGACATTTTATAAAAATTATGAATATATCAAAATGACATTGACATTTCAAACCGGAAGTTGCTTATACCTCGAGTAATATAAGAATTAAACGTATCATGTTTGGACTCATTTTAAAGGATTTTTCACGACGATTACAAATATGTCAAAATTGACATTCTTAACCGGAAGTTGACCATAACTTCATTAATATTGAAGATAAATATGTCGTGTTTGCACTCATTTTAAAGGATTTTTAATGAAGATTACAAATATGTCAAAAGTGAGGTTGACATTTTAAACCTGAAGTTAATTATCATGTAATAGAAGTTTTATAACTGAAGTTAATCTAGTCTTATTGTTAGTCACTTTTCCGCACTTTCTTTATATTTTTAACGTGTTTTTTGGGTCATTTCACATTGATTAAAAAAAGTCGTCGATTTTTAAGCCACATGATGATTCTTGAATTTTTCCCAAGTGTCTTAATATTTCTTTCGTTAAAAAAGAGCGTTCTTAAATTTTAATCTGTAAACTTGTAACACTTCGTCCTTAGTTTCATTTTACAACTTTTGAAACTTTAATTTTGTAAATTAGTAGCTAATAATCTAATTTCGACATTGATATGTGATCTTTTTTAACAAAACAAAAAGAAATATTAAGAAACTTGTTTGTAAAATGGATAAGATGAGAGATGTTAATCTATTTGTAGAGTCACTGAAGATGGCCAAGGGCCGAAACTGGTTAGACTTAAATTCTATATAAAATAAAAACCAGTTTAAAAGTACAAAATCAAACTCTAGATTATTTTCTTCAAAAATTTTTTCACAAATCGTCATCATTTTGTCTCTAGTTTTAGTGATTAAAGTTATGATAATAAAGTTATTATTATTATTATTTGTCGCTTAGTCAAGTGATGCAGAACGCGGTCCAAATAGTATTGATTATTATGATAATTCTTATAATAAAAGTTCAGCCACTGAATATTTTTTTTAAACATCGATGTATCGGTATAATACGTCGATGTTTTCGACATCGATGTTTTAATATCGATGTTTTTATGAGCGATGTTGCATCCCTACTATGCAGTCGGTTGTGGATGAATCTTCAAAGGGAGATCAAGTATAAAACAATTCAATCCCATGAAGGCCATAAAAAGGGGTTATAAGCTCTGGTGCTTAGCAGATAAGAAAGGGTACATAAACAAATTTGATGTGTATCAGGGAAAATCTCCTGAAATTGAAGAAAAATTTGTCCTTCAACTTACTGATCTTTTGGAGAAACTGAAAATTGAGAAAACCTTAGCTTTTGAAACAACAAGGTCTACAAAAAAGGTGCTCCAAAAAATTTTGTTAGATGCTAAACGAATGAAAAGAGGAGATTATGATTACCGGATATCAAATTTAGATATAAGTTATTACAAATGGAAGGAC